GGTGCTGGCTCGCCCCAGTTCCCTGCCCAGCAGCTGCAGCGTCTGTGGGGCGCAGGTCAGTGCCCATGGTGCTGGCTCGCCCCAGTTCCCTGCCCAGCAGCTGCAGCATCTGTGGGGTGCAGGTCAGTGCCCATGGTGCTGGCTCGCCCCAGTTCCCTGCTCCATCAGTGTGCTGCATCCTCCCCATACCACCTTCTCTGGCCATGATGCCTGGCTCCTTGCTGACTGGATCCTCTCTCTGTCCTCCAGGCCCCAGGTCCCAGGCCAAGGGCGACTCCCCTCCCAGCTAGAGGCTTCTTCACTCTCCAGGACCCTCTCAGTAAGAGGCCAGCACAACTGGGTGGGCTTCCTGACCCCTTTCTCACACCCCTGGTCCTCACAGCCACCCAACCACCTCTTGCCCAGACTGCAGTTGGGCCCGCCTGCCCCTATCAGCCCAACAACTGTTCACAGCATCAGAAGGGCAGAGCTTCGCCTGGGCACAGTGGCGCACGCCTCTAATCCCAGCACTTTGCGAGGCTGAGGCAAGCAGATCACTTGAGGTCAGGAGTTCGAGATCAGCCTGGCCAACATGGTGAAACCCTGGCTCTACCAAAAATACAAAAATTAGCTGGGCATGGTGACGCACACTTGTAATCCCAGCTTCTTGGGAGGCCGAGGCAGGAGAGTTGCTTGAACGCAGGAAGCAGAGTTTGCAGTGAGCTGAGATTGCCCCACTGCACTCCAGCCTGGGCAATAGAGCAAGACTCCATCTCAAAAAAGAAAAAAAGAGGGGCAGTGTTTCAGGGACCCAGAGGCCCCCCTCACTGGGGACAATGACAGGGCCCTACCTGGCTGTTCCCCCACCTCCCTCACCACCCCCCAAGCCAGAGGGCCCCGGCAGTGCTGCTCCCCTAGCTTTTGCTCAGATACAGGCCCGGCAGTACCCCTGCCCCAGACGGGAGCTTCCTGTCAGGCTCTCTCCCTGTCCTGCTCAGCTGTCTTCACCCACCCTTCCCCTGCTAGGGCCTGTGCCCCACCTGTAGTGCCTGGAGAGTGCCCGGCTGGGCAAGCCCTGCACCCCCAGGAGTGGACAGCTGGGGAGAGCATGATGCTAGGTAGGGGCTGAATGACCTGGAACAGGTGTGCACAGACAGAGGTGGCAGGTGGGGCAGGCCAGCCTGGGAGCCCAGCCCAGTGGGTCCAATTTCACCGTAGGGAGCCCCCAGGGGCCCCATTCCCAGCGGGCCCTGCAGTGTCTCCTGAGCTGTGTCTGAAGCCTGCCGAGAGGGCCTCTGCACACTGTGCCCTCCTCATCCATCTGCCCAACTTCTCCAGAGTTGGGTTTAGGCTGTAATGTGGCTTCTTCCAAGGTGTGCCCTGAGCCCCCAGATGGTGAGGAGCTGAGCCCTGGGGTGCTCCCAACAATGCCGTGCCCTGGATGAACGCATCTGCCATTGTGTTTTTGAGAGACAGGGCCTCGATCCATGACCAGGCTGGAGTGCAGTGGTACAATCAGCTCACTGCAGCCTTCAACTTCTAGGCTTAAGCGATCCTCCCACCTCAGCCTCCTGAAGTGCTGGGAGTGCAGGCGCGAGCCACCGTGACCGCTTGCTATTAAAATAGCTCTGCCCTTTTGCTTGGTCTGGGCTTGCTGCTGTGGTCCTGCTTTGTCTCTTTAAGGCAGTGACCCTGTCCTGGTTCCTTCTGCCTCCCAGCACCTGGCACGAAACAGACCCTCCCCACATACAGTGCTGCAGGTGTGAAGAGGTCTATGGGGTCTACTAGACAGGTGGGTGGAGGGGAGCTAAACAGACACCAAGGAGGGGTCAGAAGGAGAACGACGGGGAGGTGAGGGTGGGCTGGACCCACAGGGGGCCTTGGGATAGCTCTGTGAGGGGCAGGGCCACTCAGCCACTCAGCCTGAGCCTTCATGTCTGCACTGAGGAGGGCTGAGGAAAGGCAGGTACCCTCTGCCTGAGCTCAGGGCTCTGTATCTGGTCTGCTGGTCACAGGCGCTTGTGGTCTATGAGCTCCATGCCCATGCCCAGGGGCCCCTCAGTACATCTGACCAGGGAAATCCACATTCACAGGTTCACCCTCTTTGGGAGTGGCCCTGGGATCCAGGTACAACCTAGAGCTGACTGCTAAGCCAGAGGTCAGCCACCCAGGGCTGGCCAGACCAAGGTGAGGGGACCAACGGAGCTGACACTCAGGGCAAGAGGCCTCCCAGGCCAGGCTGTGCCCTGCTCAGTGTTCCATGAGGGTTTTGCCCTTTTCCCCTAAGCCAGCCTGCACAGGTCCCTGCCCCTGGTCACCAGTCACCCTGAGTAAGACCAGGATGGGAGCTTGGTTTGGAGAAGGAACATCCAGGGAGTGGTTCTCAAGGTATGGCCTGGCCACCCCTGCGATCCCGGGGTCAAAGCTCTTCTCATACACGAGAGTCTCCTTCTCATCTTCGCTCTCATGTACAGCGTAGCTCCCAGAAGCCACAGCATGTCTTGTCCTGGTGGGCTGAATGCAGTGCTGATGAGAATCCAGCTGGTTTTTTTGTTTGTTTTTGAGACAGTTTCCCTCGTTGCCCAGGCTGGAGTGCAATGGCACCATCTCGGCTCACCGAAACCTCTACCTCCCGGGTTGAAGCGTCTCTCCTGCCTCAGCCTCCCAAATAGCTTGGATTACAGGCATGCACCACCACGCCTGGCTAATTTTATATTCTTTAGTAGAGACAGGGTTGTCCCATGTTGGTCAGGCTGGTCTCAAACTCCTGACCTCAGGCGATCTGCCTGCCTCAGCCCCCCAAAGTGCTGGGATTACAGGCGAGAGCCACCACGCCTGGCCAAATCCAGCTGTTTTCTATGTGACCATTTTATTTTATTATTTATTTACTTATGTATTTTGAGGCAGAGTCTTGCTCTGTCACACAGGCTGGAGTGCAGTGGTGCAATCTCGGCTCACTGCAACCTCTACCTCCCAGGTTCAAGCGATTTTCCTGCCTCAGCCTCCTGAACAGCTGGGACTACAGGCCCGCACCACGACGCCCAGCTAATTTTTTGTATTTTTAGTAGAGACGGGGTTTCACCGTGTTAGCCAGGAAGGTCTCGATCTCCTGACCTTGAGATCCGCCTGCCTCAGCCTCCCAAAGTACTCAGATTGCTTTGTGAGCCACTGCGCCCGGGATGCCCGGACATTAGTAAGGCTTGTGGAAGTGTGAAAAGATGCCACTCCTCTCAATAAATTGTTTTCGTTTTGAAAAATATGGTCGTGGCCGGGCGCGGTGGCTCACGCCTGTAATCCCAGCACTTTGGGAGACCGAGGCGGGTGGATCACGAGGTCAAGAGATCAAGACCATCCTGGTCAACATGGTGAAACTCCGTC